TAACAACATTTTAGAAAAGTATGGATTAAATTCGAGAACTTTTAATTTTTTGTTTGGACATTTCAGGAATTTTGCCTCATATATATATATAGTCATGGACCGAGGTATTAAATTTTTTCTCTATAAGTTTGTCGGTAATTGTAAATCTATAAATCGTGAAAATGTAACCATCATTTTTTCGTGAACATTTTTTTATATGCATATATATAAATATGCATTTGCATTGTTGTAAAACATTTGCATTGTTTTACAAGACATCGTTTGATTGCAAATTTTGTTCTAAGTATAACTTTTTATTCTTAATTAGAAAACAAACCAATTAAATAATTTTAATAATGTTTTATTTTATTTTTTCTGAAACATTTATTTCAGCTACTCAACAAACTACACCACTTTCATGAACCAGGATAAATTGTAAACATTTTAAAATGTATATCTACGAAAGGAATTTTGTAAAAAAATTATATTTGATGACATCACACCTACACAGGCTGCCAAGGGACGTCAGCCAGAAGGAAGGGGGATATTTGTTAGGGACAGATTTTCCTAACAAACATAATTTTTTTTAATCGTTATTTATCAATTATTTTTGAATATTTGTAATATAAAACACAACACACATTTTTAATGTGAATATTTTTAATTATTGTTTCAAAATTATCTTTAAGCATGCCAAAAGTCTTTTCGTATAATTTATTTAATAATGAATAATTAATTTGAAATGAATTACAAAATAATAACATGATCTAAATTCTCATTATGTCATTTGAATGTGGGTCTTCAATATTATGACAGTTACTTAATCCATTTGAAAGATTAAGCAATATTAAGGAAAATTATAAGAAGAGTAGGTTGCAAAATCAACTCTCCTTCTACATGAATCGGGAGTGATCATTGTCACCAATCTCATTGTTGTAAGGATTTTAAATAGTCGGTCTTTCGACCAAAAAGGGGAGTTCAAGTGTTCAGTATCATTTCCCGCAGAGCGGATGTTGTGTTGATTCCCGCAAAAGGCGGATGATTATATATTATTGAAGTTCCACAAAAAGTAGTTGAAAATATTGAATATTCCCCGGGTCAGGGTTGATTTTGGTTTTTAATATTAAAAGTGCAAGTGCTTTAAGAATATAAAAAGTTAAATAGATAGTATTGAGCAAATCGTATTAAATAAAAGTATGTAAGAGAAGACTTCCACACTCAAGCATCAAGTGACAAACACGAGTATTTAAGTAATACGATACTTTATTCTGGTCTGATTATAATTATTATTTTGGTGAGTCTCTTTAATAATTGCCTTTTATTGAAACAGTTTCTTTTTAAAAGAAATTAAACATACATTTACACAAACACACAAACATCTTTCGTAAAAAATAGAAATTGTATTTTGGAAATAGAATCTTTCTTGCTGTTATTTGTGAAACTTGACGTAAGTCAAGTAGATTAATTAAATTGATTATTGAATTGTGTAATAAACCCTTTCTTTTCATGTATTAAGGTAAATACATTGAGAATAAATTGTAATAAACTGAGTGTTAATTTAATTTGATTTCATTTATTTATTTCACTTTGAAATACTTTTGTCTCATGTTTCTTTTCAACATTTTCTCTCAAATACCGTCTATCCGGGTTTATTGAATTGATAATATACTGAGAGGTAGTCCACTACGTTATTTTAAACATTGTTTAGCGAAGAGCATTTACGCTTTACCTATGAGCGGAATTGCTAATAATAACATTTAAATTGGTAATTAAAATATTATTATTTTTCAAAAATTTTCTTTTGTTAATTTAACTTCCGTCTTTAACAAAATGGTGGCAACGGTGGGATATATCGCTCATATTTTAGAGAAAATGTTTTATAAAAAGAAAAAGTTGAGACTTCAGTAAAGAGTGAAAAATAAATTTTCTTTCTGAAAATACACATAAATTAAAATACACTCACAAATACACAGTAATTATTTGAAGTAAATTGTGAAAAATGATGAAATTGGATTGATGTTGGAATATTTGTTTATTGTTTCAATGTTTTAATGTATTACTTTTCAGACAAAATTTTTGTTCGGGTTTTTGTCAAGTGCGCGAGTAGAATTTTTTTTTTGTTGTTTGCTAACGTCGAAGTGAGACACAGTAACTACCCTATTGAAAAAAAACACGTATAATTGTACGTATAATAATACGTATAATTATACGTATTATTATACGTATTATTATACGTATAATTATACGTATAATTATACGCATAATTATACGCATAATTATACGTATTATTATACGTATAATTATATGTATTATTATACGTATAATTATACGTATAATAAGACATACGAATTTGAAACAAGAATTATACGTATAATTATACGTATAATAATACGTATAATTAATTATACGTATAATTATACGTATTATTATACGTATAATTATAATTCTATTAAAACTAGAATAATAGAATAGAATAGATTAATTAGTAGCAAAATAACGCTGAAAATTTTTAGAAATTTTAAAATGCAAATTAAATTTCACGAAAAAAAATATCGTCGAATGTCAATTCAAGTAGTCACCCATCCAAGTACTAACCGCGTCCAACGTTGCTTAACTTCCGTGATCTGATGAGAACTTGTTCCTTCGCCTTGGTGTTTCCGCTGTCTTGTCTTGATTAATAACTTTGTCGTATAAGTATTGTATCGCACCTAACCTCACTTTTAGTGATACTTATACGACAAAGTTATTAATCAAGACAAGACAGCGGAAACACCAAGGCGAAGGAACAAGTTCTCATCAGATCACAGAAGTTAAGCAACGTTGGACGCGGTTAGTACTTGGATGGGTGACTGCTTGAATTGACATTCGACGATATTTTTTTTTGTGAAATTTAATTTGCATTTTAAAATTTTTAAAAATTTTCAGCGCAATTTTGCTACTAATTAATCTATTCTATTCTATTATTCTATTTTTAATAGAATTATAATTATACGTATAATAATACGTATAATTATACGTATAATTAATTATACGTATTATTATACGTATAATTATACGTATAATTCTTGTTTCAAATTCGTATGTCTTATTATACGTATAATTGTACGTATAATAATACGTATAATTATACGTATAATAATACGTATAATTATACGTATAATTATACGTACAATTATACGTATAATTATACGTACAATTATACGTATAATTATACGTATTATTATACGTGTTTTTTTTCAATAGGGTACCCTTGCATTCGGCAAGGAACGTTAAACGTTCCTTTATTTTCTAAATTCTAAAAAATAATTCTACACAGTACTCAGAGCTGTGAGAAAAGCAGTCACGACTTCGAGCAAAGAATTTATTGTTATATTCGTAGCTCTGAATAATCTGTTGTCTACTAATATGAAACGAAACTCTGATTTCTGTCAAAAAAATGTAGTGATTATTTTCTGCAGAGCATTGAGTACTGTGTGCACGGAAAAAATAAGTTCGTCAATCAATAACAGAATAGTCTGTCACTTTGAGATGGGACATAAAATCGTTTAAAGGTTAAAAGTCTCTGTTTGTTACTATTTAGAAAGAAAACTGTTTGTTAAATTTTCTATGACTGTTAAAAAATATAACACTGAAAGTCACTGTTCTTATATACTACATGACGAGATTTTTCATCACTTTCAAGAAAAGGTTTTGCACTGAACATTACTTTTTAATTATTCAGAAACATAAAAGAAAATTTATTTTTATCGAGGTCAATTTTTAGCCAGATATTGACTGCAAATTGTTTGTGGAATTTCATATTGACATTTTACTTATATAGTCTATAGCAGAAACATAAAGGCTGTAGCAGAACTTTGGAAGAAATGCGCACCGCATCTCTGCGCAGCTCGTCTGCCATAAAGTTAACTAACATTTCACAGAATTTTTTTCATTTTTTCTTTCAGACTTGTAAAATTGGTTGCGATTTTTGTTAACGGGGGGATGCAACTCTACCCATTTTGTAAATTTATCTTACATCACGAGGAGATTGTTGACGTTACCAATCTTTTTGCAATTTATTAATTTTCGTTTGAATAAAGTTGCTAATTGGAATTCCGTGCTGAGGTTTGTTATAGGTTGCATCAAATAATAACTTTATGTTTAAATAAAACAATGTAACTTTAATATACAATCAAAAACTGGAAGGTACTAATACATAGATTGAGAGCTTAAATTAGTATTGTGTGCTCTAGTATACGGTTGAAATTTTTTAATCTGGTGAAGATTTTTAGTTTTACATCGACAGAGGTGCGAATAACGATTTGTAAAAAGTGGAAGGGGAAAGTAACAGTGGAGGGGATGAAGGTGAAAACGGAGAAATATCGTTAAGTGCAAAATGGTTAAGGACAAATTACAATAGATAGGGCTATTCGAAGAAGTACCGTAATTTAGAGTTGACACCCATCGATGCGAAGGTAGCAGTAACAGAGATTAAGATAAGTAGACAAAACACGGATTAAGTAGTAAAATATTGAAAACGGAACACGTTTCAAAATGACAATTATATTCATAAATAATAAACTTAGGTTTCAACAGAGATATTTATGACCACGTGATGAACTCGTAAGGCGAAGCGTTTAGAAAGCGAAAAATCGGACATAACATGCTTCCTGATAGCTTTCCCACTGCTTCTTAGCAGCTATCCTAGCGCTTTAAACGGGCATTTTACTTAGCTTCATAAAGCGTAAGATTTTCGACTGGGATAAGCTTTAAAAAAAGTTATTGTTTATTCTTTTTTCTTTATTAGAAACAAAAATATAAAACTTTTTGTAACGCCTAAAATTCTGTAGGGTGGACAAAATTTACTGAGCGTCACTTTAATGTAATACTTTTGGTATTCATATAAGTTTTGAATTAAAAAAGTTTTTATACAGACATTATTACTATATATGCAAGATAATTATTTCTCCACCTAATTTTTAAGTAATATTTGTTTTTATGTAACAATGCTCTTGATATTTCAAACATTTCATATTTTACAGATTACAGAAATTTTAAAGAATGGTATAGCAGATGCATCGTGGGAAGGATTATCTCGTGTAAATGGCAAATTAGTTATAGATTGTGTTACACCTGAAGACGAAGGGTTAATTTACTGTGCTGGGGTTGCTGGTACTGAAATTCAACTTGCAAGCACTTTACTAATAGTAGATAGTAAGTAAAACTTTTAAGAGTTATGCGTAGTACAATATATATAATCATTTGAAATTATAATATAGTGACGAAAATTGTTAAAAATAAAAATAGTAAATTTATGCACCTCTATTATCCGTCATTTCGATTATCCGGCATAGTGCTGGTCCGGTGCCTATCGGATAATCGAGGTTCCACTGTAATTATTTTTTTCTATTATATATCCCTATCTTACAAAAAGATATCGCTGTTGTAGTTTCAAGAATCGAACATAACCTTAAAATTATTTCATAGGTCAACAAACAAATACATCATATTTGACAACGATAAAAGTCGATAATAACTTCAAACTTAGTTCTACTTCTACCCAGACCCTCATTTTAGAGCTATGAACAGAAATTTTACAATGCTTCTAGTAAAGCGATTGTTTGGGAACGCAGAAATATACACCACATGTAATTTAACCAAAATGCAATTAATCCGCACATGACTGAGTTCATTATTTGACGTCCGCGGCTGAGGTGGCTCCGAGGGATCCAGCTGCTTTAATTTAATAAAAGCAAGATTTAATAGCAAGATATTCAATATTTTAAATCTAAATTATAATTGTAAAATTTTGCAAATATAATTCGAAAAAATATTTAATCTTTTGACACTTTAGGGTATATAAATAGCCTACAAAAAGTCGCGTCGTGACACCTTTTTCGACAGGGCGAATTTGAGTGTACAGTACAAAAGAAGTAATTAATTTAATTTCAGTATTACTAAGTATTCTAATGTTTTTGGGGTGGCTGATTACGAATCCGATGGTAGCCAAAATACCAATTTTTCCGTCTAATTTTAATGAAATATCAATTATTCCATCCTATTCGACACATGTTTTTACACAAAAAACTGCAGTATTGGCCATTTTTATTTATAAATTTCGTTTTGGAAATAGTTTAAACATGAAAGTTGCATTCAAAAAGCAAGATGTCAAAATGATGTTTAAACATATTTTACAATAAAAATTAGTTCTGAAAATGTCGCTAAACTATGTTATTTTCTTTTTCTGTTACTAAAGTATGGAAAATCGTTAAAAATATAAATATTTATACTGATTTTGTATTTTTTTAAAAAGTGAAATCATCCAAATCTCTGTTTTTATTATTTTTGAGAAACTTCCAATTCAATGCTCCCCGATGCTCCGCTTCCAAATGACTCAGTTAAAGTGCAAATATCTTTGTTATAGTGTACTGAATGGATTGTATATGCGCCATTTTGCGCTTTTCTAGAAACATATCTAAAATTTCATATTAACTCATGAAAAGTACGAAAAATTTGAAGTTTTCGTAACAAATATGAACTGAAATAGAATTTTAAAAAATACACATATATATTAATATGTAGTATGTTTCTAGTATCACTAAATCGAACTTTTTTTGCAAAATTAAAAGATTCAATATGGCGGATCCAATATGGCGGACGACTTTTGTGAAAATCGATTCAAATTATCTGAAACTTATTACTTGAAGGTTTTTAGGGTCGCTGATTACGAATCTGAAGTTAGTTTTTAAAAATTCAAAATGGCGGATCCAAAATGACGGACGATTTTTTTTAAAACTCAATTAAATCGCTCAAAACTCGATAAAAAATCGATTAATGTGGTTGCAAATGTTTACTGAGGAGTTTCATGAATTTTCGCTCAAAATTAAAATTTTTTTAAAAGTACTAAATACTAATTAAAACTATAGATTTGGATTTAGAAACAAGAAAAATCTTTGTATAGCCATTGACTTCCATACCATATTCTTATACTATACTCTCATACCCGATACATACATACATCATATTGCGTAAAGTCATTTTTGTAAAGTCCTTTGTTTATTTAAAGGTCAGTGAAAAGATTACCTTTAAAAGGAAAAAGGTAGTTAATAATTATTCCGAGCTACTACTAGAATGCGAATGTAGTATACATTAGATTAAATTGAAGAAATATCTTACTTGTTTGAAGTAATATGAAAATCACAAAAAGAGAAGTGATTGATTTTCTTAGAAAATCACCAGAAGCAGACCCAATTACTTTCATTTTGGCTAAATATGATAAAAATAAAGCAGATTTAGAAATGGAAAATGTACTTTGCATTGAAAAAGCAATAAGTTCTCTAAAATCAAAATTTAAGATTAAATATTAAGCAGCTGTTAGAAAAAATGATAGATTTCAGTTAAAAAATAAAGATTGTCTTGATTCAGAATTTGTTTTCTTTGATTTAAGTACAAAAGCCGAAACAAGTTCAGGTAGAAAACCGCTTGATTTTAATGATAAATCAGCTAGATCAAAAAGTCGAGAAATTGTTTAGATTAGTTCCGCTAATTCTCATGATCCACAAAGACTTATTCTTGCTGCACGATATGCATATAATAAATTAAAGCAGCATAATGTTACAACTGTAACAGATGAAATTAGTAAAAGTTCGTCTCGTCCTTCAGAAATACTAAGCTTGATAAAAACTGTTGAAAAGAATGTAATAAGAATGATAACACCATTAGAGGCTTTAGTTTTCTTATTCGATCAATATTTGTCTAAAGAAACATATAGTAGTATACAACACGAGTCAAAGATTTGCGGAGCTGATATTTGGCCTACTTACAACGAGCTTAGAGAAACAAAAAGATTATTAAAACCACAAGCTCTTGGGGTAATTTTGTCTTAAAAACTTGAAACAGATAATGAGATTGCTGAGCTACTTCCTTTATAAGTGATTATAAATGATGATTACAAAGTTAAGGTTCACTTTTCTAATCATTTAACTTTAATTGATGGGAAAGTTCTGAAAATTGTCACAGGTACAAAATCTGCACAGAGTTGCCCCATTTGTAAATCAACACCAAAGGAATTTAATAATCTGAGCAATATTAGGAAAGAAACAAATATGTTTATATTCGATCAAAACCGAAAGCTGGTAGAGATGGCACAACTAATGATGGAAACTCTGCACATATCGCATTTCAAAATGCAGATATTTTTGCAGAATGTTAAGGAATTGATTGTTGTACGTTTCCTTGTATCCTTGGTACCCAATGCCATCACCTCTTCATAAAATTTTAATTCATGCTGCAAAAATAATAAGAAACTGTACTCTACCAGTACAGGTATGTATGGAAAAGAGGCATCAGAGTCGCGAAACAAGAATTACAGGAATTTCAGGTTGAAGCACAGCAGACAGTGCAGTAAAATCAAACTTAGAGGATCTCTTTAATCGATTAATAGATTCCTTTGATCCAATTGTGTTCAGTATGTTTGCGTTGTCTTGAATAAACAAAAGGAAACGTTTACCGTTACCAACAGCAGTTAAGTAATTACTTTCCTTAGATGATCAGATTGATGACTATGGGAATAACAGCGAAAATGAAGGCGAAATTGAAGTTCAATCTGAAGACATAGAAATCATTGGTTTAAATTCAGTTCCAGTTTGCTAGATGACTTAGAACATTCAGAAGAAGCAATTTTCGAAGATAATTAAGTCGGCATATTCATCATTGATACATGAGTTCATTCGAAAAATTTTAATAGGGTTCCCTCTTTGGGTACGAAACCCTAAAAAAAACAAAAACTTTAAAAAAGTTAAAATTAAAAAAAAACAAAAAAATACAAAAATTAAAAAAAACAAAAAAATACAAAAATTAAAAAAAATTAAAAAAAAAACAAAAAAATGGGATTTTAAATCGGACTAGAAACCTCCCCGCGGTATATCCTGGGTGTATAATATTACAGCTGATTCTAGGCGTAAATTCAATAAAAAATTAGAAGGTATAACTAATTATTCTTTTTGCTCTCTTATAAGAATAAAAATATTACTCTATTTTAATAAATTGACCCCAAAAACCCCCGAGTAACAAGTTGCAGATAATTTTAATCGAATCATGCAAATTACTGCTCAAGGGTTTTCAGGGGCGCTGATTACGAATCCGATGTCAGTTTTTTAAAATTCAAAATGGCGGATCAAATATGGTGGACGACAAAATTAAAATTTTAACGTATTTACATGAAACTTGTTGCTGGAGGGGTTTCAGGGTCGCTGATTGCGAATATGACGTTAGTTTTTACTTTTTTCTTTAAAATTCAAAATGACTGATCCAATCTGGCGAAAATTTTTTTAAACCTGATAAGTTTGGCTTGAAACTTGTTACTTGGGGGTTTGTGGAGTTACTCATTACGAATATGACGTCAGATTTTCAAAATTTTAAATGGCGGATCCAACATGGCGCACTAAAAATTTTAAAAGTAAAGCTAAGGTTGCCATAATCACTACCTATAGGGGGTTTCAGGATTACTGTTCAGGAATATATCAGATTTTAAAAATTTACAACGACAGACAATTCGCTTAAACGACATTTCTGTCAATTGACGTGTCGGTTAATTGACAAGCCTGCCAAATAATAATTCAGTTAATTGACATGTGGGTTTAACCTTTGCGCAGATGAGCTGGTTTCCTTGGACCCAGACAATTTGCTTTTTCAACTACTTTTATGTAAGGAAATATTTTTCCAAAATCGTTATTTAATTAGATAAGCTAATTTCATAACGTACATTTTAAACAATATGTGAGCATAAAATATTGAATATCCGGATATTAAAATCTTGTTTTTTATTAAATTAAAGCAGCTGGGTCACTCGGACCCATTTCAGCCGCGGACGTCAAAAAATGAACTCAGTCATGTGAGGATTTAGTATAATTCCGTTAAATGACAATTCTGTTGTCTGGAATTTCGGTTGAGTGTCATTTAAGGCTAATAACAATTCTTTAAATATCAATTCGGTGAACTAATATATTTCTATTATTAAGTGAAAATTCGGTTAAGTAACGTGTATCTCTGATAAGTGCACTATTTAGGGCTGTAGCATAAAAATATAACTTATGTTCTACATTGTGATATTTTCATATTGGTAGTACTGCAGAATCTTGTTAATTATATAAAATAAATATTAAAGTAAATTATACTTAAAGAATATTAATGTATTTGATTCTTGTGTAATATTT